GTTTAAATTAAATGAATAAACTTTACTACGCACCGTACCATTGAGTTCAGTGTATGAATAATTAATTACCTATGGATTAACTTTATATTACATTCGGAATTCTTTATAACGCTGCTTTAACGCATAGAAAGCTATCGAAATAAGGTCCTGAAAGTGATTACATATTCTTGGAGGCTTCTTGAATTTCTTCTGGAAATGTGTAATCAATGTGAAAAATGAATTAAAATGTATGTTCTACATGGTCAATAATTAGCAGTTAGTGAAATACACTCTTTTGCAAAAAAATCGAAGCACCATGAAGGAAGTGGTTATTTTTGATGAAACTAAATATGTGTATAGCTCATACACAAATAATAAAATGATTAAAATATCAAGTCATACCCCCTGTTCACGGCGCACAATCACCCATTGAGTGTTCAAATTAGTAGTTGGTCGAACCGCCCCTGGCGACAATGCATGCTTGAATTCGTCGAGGCAAGGAGTGCTATAGGTTCCTAATGTCATTCTGCGACACATTCGATGTGATATTCTGCATTGTACCGGGTTTCTGTTGCCGGAGCAATACTTCCCAGTCATGCAAAGAGTTTCATGCATGACTGGTATTAGAAAATCCCTTATTGAGTTTCCTCTGTGGGGAGAAATAAGAGAGAGAAAAAGGAATACGGCACAATTTTCACTTGGGCTTCAGGAGCTGACGCGAACTATTTGCAACACTGATCCAAACAGGTCCAAAATAGTAACAGCTAAAAGTCCGTGAGATGCTCGTAGCCTGTTGGATCGAAATCTAGTTGGAATCCTCGTCAGAAGAGATGATGTGGAAAGATGCACACGAAGCGTAAGCACAGTGTACTGACGAGTAACAATTAATTATTGGTTTGCGTAATTAAGCGTGCGGCATAAGGTTGGATGAGCAAATCGTCCGGAATGATTTCATAGCTCAGAATATACGCGAAGTTAGCTGTACTGTTGGTCTTTGCTGCTAGTAGTTTCCTTTAGCTTGGATAAGTAGTCCTTTGATATATCATCTGAAGGTCGCGATGAAATCTTCATTCTAATGTAGTATGGGCGTTCGTGATGGTTCTCGGGACCTTATTTTGCAGAACTTGCAGCCGGTGAATTTCACTTGCCTTATCACTTGCCCAGGCCGGGAAGGCGTATGTGATAACAGGCTTGACTATTTATCCAGAGTCCTTAGAAAGTAGTGGGTGAAGCTTTTTCATAATGCCGTACGCTTTTCCACACACACTGTTTATGTGTGCATTCCAGGTAAACGATCGATTTAATATAACTCCTAGGTATTTTGCCGTACTTACAGTAGGGACTGTTTTTCCGAAGAGCGTAACATTGCAGGTGACGGGATCTGTGATCTTGAATTTTCTGATGACTAAAACTTTTGACTTCTCCGGGTTGATCTTAATTTTTCATTGCTGACACCATGCTGCAATATCAGGAATAATCTGCTGAATCTTTTCCAAGGCGTGATTTGGCCGTCTGGAGTTCGCGATGATGGCGATGTCATCCGAGTAGCATGCTAACATAATATTAGGGTCTTGTCTGAATATTGGGAAGTCATTTACGTACAAAATATAAAATATTAGTCCAAGGATACTCGACACATTCGAGTTGGCACACTAGTGTATATATGTGACAGTATCCGACCCACGCATGCTCGGACCACATAGCTGTTTTTGTGCAAGTGGATTCCCATAGCGTTTAACCGGTATTTCGCTGAACAGTATCTACTGGCTGCTAGAATGTAAATATCGACCTTGCAGAATTTTGTTTTCCTTATAAAATTTCTCGTTTGTTATAAAATACTTTTCTTCGTTATTTTGTGAATAGAACAGTATCTATGAGCCGTAAAATTAACAAAACAAACGTTTACCAGCAATCAAATTGCCAATAAACTGGCAACTTTTCTTGAAAATTCGGGTGAAAGTACCAAAAATTTTAATCCTTAGATATCTGAAAAGAGAGTCTGCGAACATGATAAAACTGAATACATTGCTTTTTACGGAACTCAGGTTTGTCTTTTATCAACTGATCTCCAAAGGGTCACTCACTGGCAGTAGGGCAGAAAACGATTTCTATAAAACTGAATTTAAACGTTTTATTTTCTTGCTTTATTTTAAAAAAATATTTTTAAAATTATTTATTCCTTATCATACTACATAACAAATATTAACTGCCATGATATATACTTAATTTTGGCTTATTTAGTACGTTTCGCGTAATCATTGATAAACGTTGATTACAAGTGAAGTGATGAGGCTGAAACCTCTTCAAGGTCTTTTATGCAAAGATTCAAAGTTCAGAAGCTTTGTATTAGCAGCATTTTAAATTGTTTCGTTTCGTAAATAAGATAAGATAGAGGATAGGTTTGTAGAATCAAGAATGCTCCGAAATCAAACCGATTGGAGATATCGAGTACTTACCTAGACGTATGCTTGTGAAGTATTGAATTTCTTAAACTTGGTGAAAATGTGGCTGGTTAGTGTCTAGCGGTTTTGCTGCGGACAAGTCTAAGCGAAGCACAGAGTTCTGTATTCCTAGTTAAGTTTCTAAAAAATTATCTATACAATGCATTTCAAATGCATATTCAAGTTCAATTAACTATAAACACTATAAGGTATTTTCTTCCTCCTTTCCGCGCATGCTTTCGTGGTGAAACTCGGCGCGTATTCGAGTTCCAGCGAGAGCACTGCACATTTTTCACTTCTTCTGCTTAAAAAGAAAAACATAATAATAATGGCTCTAGAATACTGGTACTGTTTTTTAAAATTATTTTGAAACTTTTCTGTTATTTCTTATATTGTAATTCATGAACTGAATGCCAAACAGCATCTAAGAATAAATATCAGAGACTTATAAAGAATATGCCGTGCAATTAAGACTTAAGAGTTTCTTTCGAATGATTTCATTTAAAGCGGATGAAAAAATTCGATTTCTTTTAAATAGTTATATTCACTGATAGGAGAGCACTAATGCAAATACTCAGTAGGAGGAGAGTGAATTAAAAAGCTATCATATTGTGAAACTTTTTGTGAAGCAAGCAGAAGTTCTGAGAACAAAATAAAATAGTAGTTTGTTTAACACTGATTAAGACAAAGCATTCCAGGGCTGTCTGCCTAAGAGGAGAGAAGCCTTGGCGGAGGACTTACCAGAGAGAGATGGCTCATATTCACGTTGCACATTAGGCTAACTACAAACGACACTCATGCAACAAGCCTGCTCCAAGGGATTGAACCTGTGTTGAAATACCAGTGTTCAGCTATCTTATTGATGTGCCGCTGGTGGGTTCCAAAAAAAAAAATGCTTCTGATTTTTAAGAATAGTTATTTTTTCTAAGACAATCACCATCACAGAAGATTAAGTCATCTGAAACCTTGCATTGGCATCTTAATTATATTTTTAATTGTTGTTCAATTATATTAATTGTTTAATTATTTTAATTGTTGTTTAATTATATTTTTAATTGTAGTTCATTATTATTATTTACAAATCGAATAACTATTTGTTAGTTTCTCAGCTTTATTTTTCATATTTTCTTTTCCTGCAAAATACTCTTTTGAAAATTTTCCTCCTTCGGCTCTGAATCTAAGATAGGTTTTAATATCTAATCATTTTTCTCAGCTATGAATTATTTCTTGAGACACTTTCATATTTATATTCCTAGCTCCTTTTCTGTCTGCGGCCCACCAGCGACTGAGCGCTAAAGTCGCTAAATAATGGTAGTTCCTTTTACATGGTTAGAATCTCGGGAAACTGGCTAACCGCATGGGCGTTTTCATGGTTTACCCCATACGTAACTTGTATACGAGCCAGGTTTCTTCAGAAAGTCATCCATGAAGGTATCCCTCCCTTGAGACAGATAACCCTGGATTGCTTTACCGTAATTAAACTAAACTGAACCAACCTTTTCTGTCTGTTAAGTATAGTAATTGAGGGGGAAGTATAATTGAATGCTGCAAGGGCTGTTTGTTATGCAGTAGGCTCATTGTGCTATCAACATTAGGTATCACATGATAAAGTAGTTTTCTAAATATTAAAGCTATTGACTTAAAATTTCATAAGTCACCGTTAACATATCTTGTTATTCTTTTGAAAAGAACTGAGGCAGGAGCAAGCTGCCTGCATTATGCAAAACCCTACAATGAAAATGACTGCGATTTCTAGATTTTCCCTCAGTTATACTCAGCAGTTAGAAAATTAGTACAGCCTATAAATACGAAATTGCCTAAAAAATAATTCGGAGGAAAAAAATGCTTCCGTAAAAGGAAGGTAATTCTGTTATGAAATGAAAAATGGTACAATACATTTCCTTGTGTGCGTGTGTTGAGAGGGAATCATTCAAATTATTCTTTCTGTGAAATATGCTTGTTTAATTTTCCCGGAACAAATTTTATAATCAAATGCTGAAAAAAAGAAATCTGTTTAGACATTTATTAAAATCAGTTTCAAATGACGACAACGAAAATATTAGCAAAATATCAGCTTTGATCGCGCTTCGGCTATGACTATTATCCAAAAATGTATTTTTAATGGATTCATCTGTTCTTTTTTTTTAAATTTCTAAACGCTTAGAATGATAATTTATCAGTTTTCGAAACATCTCTCTACTGTAATGTTAATATTTAATCAGGAATTACAATTTTTTACGAAAGTGTGCTATTAATATATCTCTGAATCATATTTCTTTTACCAGATTTTTCTTTACTTTAAAGTGCGTTTTTTTATTTCGCGACATATCCAAACACTCCTTTCGTAACTATGACCTCACTGACGTCGTAGGTGTAATGCATGACTTCAAGGACATGTAATGATGCTTGACAATGAAAGAAAAGTGTTCTGTGATACTATTGTCAAACTACAACTGCAGCCGGACCCTAGATTTACGGCTTCACTTTTATTTTAGGTTGTTGAATACATTGATTTTTTTTTTTTTTTTTTTTTTTTGTTCCCTCCAGGTTTGACTCCAACTTTTGCTTTGAAGCTCCGCCATGACGTTCCACCTTAGTCTCCGGCAAGGTTTCTTCCGGGTCAAACTACTGCAAGTGGAACTCGACGATAATGGCTTACCTGATTACGTCACAGATCCGGCTTGCGTCATCAGCCTCAGGGAAAGCAAAACACAAACTGCCCTTCAAGGTCAGAGCTTAATAAATCGTTTTCTTCCCTTCATGCCCCTCCTTCCCTCCATATTGTTTACTTTAACTTGTTTTAAAAATTCTGAACTGTAACTTGTAAACAATCTGTGGATTATTCATCAGGGCTGGGCAGTCAAAATGAGATTGTGCTGATTCAAAGTATAAAATGCTAAAACCAGCTGATTAATATGCAGGTATTAAAAATTATTTCATTTTGTAACATTTGTCACATAAATCTATTGGCATACGGTAGAACTCCAAGTATTTGTAATAACTACGACCGCAGCCCAGCCGGATAATAGGAAAATCTGGATAATTAGGTTGACTTTTTTTTTTTCTGAAGGCCAAAAACATATTTATTTTAATGCAAATCAGTCTATCAGCCAACTAACCAACCTAAACAACACTGCAAAATCCCTTTCTCTGTAAGTCAAATGCGCTTTTATTGTAACGTAAATAAAAAAATTTTAATTTTATATTTATTGCATGTTATTTAAAAAAAGATTACATAATAAGAGTAAAATATTTTCATTTCGCTTAAATAAATGCAAAACATATTTTTACTTACTTAAACACAGAACTCATTTCATGTAAAATAAAACAACGAAATTAATTTTTATTTACATAGGCACTAAAATTAAGCATGCCCTTTGCTTTTATTTTTATTTTCTAAAATTAAGCAAAGAAATTGCTTTTTATTTGCGTATATCAAAACGCGTCATCTGTTTACGTTTAACTAGATGGATAGTAGCGACTATTATCAGGGCTAGTTAAAAAAAAAAAAAAAATATCACTTGTCCATTCTTAAATAATGATTCGCAGAATAAACAAAGAATAGGCTGCTATGCTGTCTATTTTTATTTCGATATTTATGAATACGTACTTGCTAAATGTGATTGCCGTGTCAAAAATATGCGATGGCGTATTATTGAATTGTGAGGTGAATGCATCTGACACGTTTATTGGCTTATAGCTAATTGTTCTTTAACGTAAACCAAGAAGCACATCATGCAAATTCATTTAAATATTTACCTTGTTAAAATTAAAAGCTGTACTGTTTTTATCTTTTGCCTTTGCTTTAACCAATGAAAAAAAATTAATGACGAAAAAATAAATTTCTTAACTAAATTAATTTAATTTTACTTGAGTTCGAACAAACACACCGAATAATTGAAATTTCAACAAATCGAGTTCTACTTAACTGATATTTTTCAGACTAAGCATATGCCATTTTTCTCAATCAAAATTGCTAATATTTATCATTAATATTTTTCCTATGAGATAAATATTTTGAAGTAATCTCAGCGCAATCACTATATGGATTAGGATTCTTCAGATTATGAAGTGTCAATCTTACAAGTATTTCTGCAAAAAGTTTCTTTCTGATTACCTGCAGTCCCACGAAAACTCGCCAATGAGTTTCTGCAACTTTGTGAATTGGTTATCGATTTGTTAATAAATAATAATAACACGAAGTATTTTAAGAAATAATCAATTTTATTAGAAGAAAAATTCATAGATCAGTATTTACATTTTTACAATCGGTGTCTGATGTTAAGCGAAGGTGCTACAGGATGCTCGGAAACTGAGAAAAATGTAAAGGCAGATGGAGGAAACCGAAACAAGCAGATTTTGTAATCAAATGTGTGCGCCAAAACGACTCGTTTGAGGTAGTGCAGGACGCTGTTCAGTCTAACATAAAAGCCTTCAGCTGGCGTAAACTGTCATACACCAGGCTGATTCGAACGGTATGCATCGCTGCACGAACGCGAAGCTACACTAGCGCATGCATTTTTGTCTTTGGACTGCGGCTAAAACTGAGCAGTTACTAAGAGATACAATCTAAGAGATACAATAAACGATTCCCATGTACTGTCTTTGAGCCATGGAGGTAGGAAGTAAGATGGAGTCGCCCTAAACAAGTTTCTCCGTACCCTGCTCTGAAGCACCGGCGATCCCTACGTGGTGACCAAAACATTGGGTCATTTACCATTGAGTTCTATGGGATTTGACGCGTTCGGATATAAATATTTTGTAATTACGACGTAAATATACATATAAATGTACATATTTTCTTTTTCTACAACACTTCAGAGTCCTAAGTATGTGAAAACAACATATTTTTAAACAACATTTCATTCTGAACGGAATTAAATGCTATACTATTCACAGGACAGTTTGCTCAGAATGGTTTAATTTGAATGAAATATTTTCACAAGTTTTCGTTAATTACATCAGAAAAAAAAAAAAAAAAAAAAAAAAATTAAGGTAATTCGATTTTATTCGGTTAAGGTACAAAAATTAAGATCAAAGTTTATTGTATTATTACTATTAAAATTATGCATTATTTCTTTTCTATTTATAGAGCTTCTTCCTAAAATACTTTCTTAAATATGACATGATTTTTTGGCTTCTGAGGCATCTTTTAAATCGAAAAATGTAAATCAATTTATAATTAATGCTCTACTCGGTTCATTTTAAATTAGAGAATTATTAGGAATTAGCGAAATACTTTAATTAAGTATTCCTAATAATTAAGTAGGTATTAAATAGTATTTGACTTTCTCTGAACATTTCTGAAAGGGAATAAAATAAGTTTTTCTTTTAAAGTATTATTTAAAACTTGTAACTGAGTTATTATAAAATGTAAAGGGAATAATTCTTTTAATTATACTTATCAGATTTTTTTTAAGTATTATTTAAAACTTGTAACTGAGTTATTATAAAATGTAAAGTGAATAATTCTTTTAATTATACTTATCAGATTTTTTTTTTACCCTTCATTTCAACAATACATATTCCAAAACTCTTATTACATTCTTAAGTGCGCATCTCATAGCATTTGCTTTACAATACCTTTAACAGATTGCTTTCCAATACGAACAATCTTGCTTAAATAGTTTTATAACGTATTTGTCAACAGGATTTCAATTTATGTTTATAATTCAATATTAAGGTTATTATATATTTAGATAACATTTATAATCATTATAAATTAGATACATTTAATCATTAGATTCTTCACAGTACTTTCACAGTTGTTTATAAGTGAATAAATTCTTCATTTCAAATACATTTATAAATAATTTAATGAATATTTAAGTATTTTGTCAAAGGCAGATACATGCTTTTTGCAAGCACATGCATAAATACCCATACATGTTTCCTATTTATCATTTCCGGCATGTGCAAATCTTTAATTTCTGTGCATTCACTATATTTTTCGTAATTTCACTATATTTTAAGTAATTTACACTAATTTAGCATACACCCGAAAGTTTTACATAAAAAATATATATGAATATAATTTGAATGAAAATTATAATTATTATTTTTAATACCCACTCAAAGGTCAGTTTTTGTTCAAAATTCCTCCACGATGGCATCTCTCTCTTTAGGCAGAGAGCCCTTGCATGCGTTACTCTATTTAATAAAAACTTAATCTGACCTATGTGCCTAATTACAAATATTTTAAAATACATAATTTATATTTACATTTAGCCATCAAGTTTCAAACTTTCAAATCTTCTAGAAAATAAAATTTGGCAGATCTCGTTTAGCAATTTCTTAAAATCTATATTTTTGTAGTGCAACAGCTTAGAATTTTATAAAAACAATTCATAATCAAAATTGCTGTTGTTAGTTATCGAAAAATAACCAAGATGTGATTTTTGCGTAAATGTCAGTAAACTATACAAATTGCTATTATCCATCACACTATGAATGTTTCTTTCATGCGAGAGTGTCCCTTTTTCGATTTCTATGGAACTGTCGTGTGTCGAAATACTATCAGAATCTTGTCAAGCGAGCTTCTGAATGTAAACAAAGAACACCCCGTCTGGTGACCCAAGCTTCAAAGCAGTGCTTCACTTCTAGCGCGGAATGGCCCCTCCTCCCTTTCCTACCTCCATGCTTTGAGCAGCTACTCATTTCTCTTTACATCCCTACAGGAAAAATGTATGTCGGCGAGCTCTGCTTTCGGGTACATTTATGCTTTCGGGTATGCATTTTACTCGAAATTGCGTAAGGAATGACATTTCACGTCAACACCTTGTACCACCTCAACGCGCTATTTGGGATACATATTCTGTTAGAAAGTCTGTTTATTTCTGTTTCTTCTATTTGCCCTAACATTTTTGCTGGATATTTTCTTTGCGAAATGTACAAAGCGTTTAAATCCGCGTGTACATAAACACGTGTATATTATGCGAATGCGTGAGTTGGCAGTTGTACGTGTACACTCAAAAAATGCGCCAAAAACACGGCAGTTTTTATCATATATTGAAACCGAGGTGTGGATAATCTGAAAGCATTCTTGAAAATTTCACCTGACGTAGCTTGGAAAAAGTTATTACTGTTTTTAAAATAGAGAAAAGAAGTGCCCAAATTAAAAACAGGAATTAAGAGGCTATTGCTAATTTAAATTAAAATTTATGTTTACATATTTTTATCTCTCTCTCTGTGTGACACGAACTTTAAAACATTATAAAGCAGAAATGCTTAAAAATATCTTAATTTAATATTTGTCATCATTTTATTATTTCTTTTTCCCCCTGTAGCAAAGAAACCATATTACCAAGAATGGAATACCCATTTTGATGTCAAGCTGGACAAAGGTAATGTAGCTAATTATGTTAATATCAGTATTTCAGTTTGCATTGAGCAGTGTATGATTACTTGCATTAACTATTTAATTTAACTCTTTTACAAAAATGTAATGATTAACAATAATATATATAACGCAGCATTAATGACACGACTGTTTATGTTATTATTCTTTGTTCTCTGTCTCCAGTTTCTGTATTATATTGCAAATATCACGGAATTTGAAATCTTACGTTGAATTCTTATTGAAAAACTAAAATGCTATTAAAATTCCAAAGAACTATTTAAGATGTGCTAAAGGAAATGATTTTCCTTGTGGAACACTTTTTACTTTATGCTCGCAACAACACATTCAAATGAAAATTCCAAACATTGGGCCAACGAGTAATCGAGTAAATAATACCGTTGAACATGGATAGCTACGTCCTGGTGTCTCATCCATGGCTGAGCAGTAATATCCAAGAAAATTGATAATTCAACCCGGTTTCAAATCCCAGAGACTAGCTGGCTACATGAGTTTTCGCGGATCTCCCTATATGTAGCCCGAATACTAGCCAGTTTCCTTTAAACAGACCATCTCTTCCTTTTGGCAAAGGGCCCTTGTGTTCTTTCCTGTAATCCAAATACTAGTTCAACGCACGTCAACGAGTGGCTTTCTGTATATTTTTCTCCTTTGATAATATAAGCCAATGTCCTTTGAAACGTAGTCTGCGAAGATATCTCTTCTAAAGCAAGTAGTTTATTCCAAAATCAATTAACTGACGCGAGTTTTGCGATTTCTTCATCTGATATATTTATAAAATACAGAATATTCTTAAGACGTGCCAGAAGTCAAATGACTTAATTCAGATGCCAATTAATTTCTGTTAGGAACACAAAGGCAGGTTCTCCTAAGCAAACGTTACACACAGCTCAGCTGTAATTAACCTAATATGGAAACGAGAAAAATTCGGAGATTTCGGCCCACCCTTGAGATAGAGAAAAGTTACTTTTACGATTCTGTAAGATCATCCCTCCCAACATATTAATTGTAATCTCATCATATTTGTTTCTCATTCTATTTGTTACTTAGGTTCTTCGTGCATAATCTGTATTTTTATGTACACTAAAACTTTTAATTTGTACATATTTTAGTATTTTCTGTACCTTAACATTCCATCATAATTTTTAGTTAAAGATTTCCAGCACGATTTGGTAAAGATTTGACGATCTTTTTCAATCGAGGAATAACTTAATTTTTTAGAAAGTAATAGTTTAATCCTTTCACCACGACATCTTAACTTCTTTGATATCGCCTGTGATGTAAATTTGCTGCACCGCTTTGCTGCTCCCCCTTTTTCTCTGTATGTATATATTATATCGCATATTATGCTGAGCGATTTTATGCATGTTGTGTCCAAAGAATCGATGTAGAACTTTATCTTGAATGAAAAGTAAAATGAATAGTATTTGAAAGACTTTTCTTGAAAACGCGATGAATGGTCCGAAATCTCGAAAATTTGTTTGACTGTTTTTAATAAAGGCATTATGATGTTTATAATGGTAAAAAAATTTAAAAAAAAAATCACATATAAAATGTATATAATTCAAATCGCATTCTTGTAAAGAATTGCGAAGCATTTATTCTATTAAAATTGTGGTTGGTACTGAAATATATATATATCAAACATCAATAATAAGACGTTATCTTTTCCATAATTCGATATTCACATAGAAGGTGAATACGAGACATTTCCCCTTAGAAAACCCTCCACGAAAGCATCCCTCTGTTTAGCAGCTAGCCCTCGTGTGCCTTGCCATAATTAGTCACACAAACAAACCAAACATATGTACATTTTTCGTAAATTAAGACAGACTTCTGTTCTTGAAATTTACTTTTTTTCTTGAGTCATGATATGCTATTGTTTCCTTATATCATGACTGCTATTAACTGTTAGGTAATAAATTCTGCTGAGTGAATAATTTCAAGAAATTGTCTGATGCTAGTTTCGTTAAAGAGTTTGTCTTAATCAGCGAGAAATGGATGAACCCGCGCAAGTTAAAAATAGAAGAATTAACCTTTCGGGTCGAAAAGGAAGAAATTAGAGATTTTAATATTAAATCTGAAAGAAGAGAGGAATATGATTTAAAAAAAATGGCACGTTGGTATACACGTGCAATACAACCTGCTGTTATAAACAGCAAAATTGCTTAAACTAAGTTATATGAAATGTAGAAGTATTAACTCGCTCTTTATTTAGACTCGCTATTTAGATTTAGATAACACCGCAGCATCCATGTTCTTTTTTGTCGCTTGGCAATAAGACGCAGTAACCGACCGAAAACCCGCCGAACGCTAATAGTTTGGCTCGGATTCGAATTCCGGGGAACGGGCTGGTTGTAGGTATGTTTTCGTAAGTTTTGCCACTTGTGTATCATAAATAAGATTTAGTTTTTCTTAGACACGTGCTTCAGCCACATAGCCCTTGCGTACCTTTGCCACAATCAGACATTTCCGTCTGATTCGATTTCCTCGAAAGGGCCGTGATTTTACAATCCAGTTTTACTTAGATGTGTGTGGTGGTGTATTTAAATTACTGCAAAGCACACTAGGGCTATCTGCCTAAGGGGAGGGATGCGTTCGTAGAGGACTTTCTAAGGGGAACTGACTCGTATACATGTTACACATGGGGAGAACCACGAAAACGCCCATGCATCCAGTCCGTTCGCGGGATTCGAACCTCTGACCGAACTACCAGTGTTCAGCGACTTTACCGCTCGGCCGCTGGTGGGCGCAGTTTCTCTTAGAAAATCGGACCACTAGCGGTATAGCGCTAAAATCATTGAATACTTGTAGAATGATCAAGGTTCAAATCCCGGCGATCAGACTGGCTACTTTGAAGTTTTTATGATTTTCATAACATAGAATTTCATGTGTAACGTAAACGCAAACCAGTTTTCCTTAAAAACTGCTCCATAAAGGGCATCCCTTCCTTTACGGAGATAACCTTCGCTTGCATTGCCCTAATTCAATTCTTTAGAAAGTCCTTCTTTAAGGCTGTTTGCGATATTCGATTCAACAGTCCTCGAACAGTCTGCCTGCATGGCATTTGGTAGCCACCGAATGATGCCAGGTAATTCAGTGATAAATACGACTAATGATTCTTGTACCTCCTCCCGGCATTAATTCCTTCGATCGTGCTGCTGCATAAAACATTCTCAGGTTTTCCCCTGTATATTGTTGTCACCAGCGGCTAAGCAAATAAGGTATCTGAATTTTTATAGTTCTGTCTGGTTTTAAATCCCGGTGAACGAGGTGGCTGCGGTGGTCTTTTCGTTGGTCTCCCCATTGTAATCAGTTTTCCTTTGAAAATCCTCCTCGGAAGCAGATGATTTCTTAGGCAGACAGTCTTCGCGTGCTTCCCGAATGACATGTTTAGTAGATATCGTGACTATAAGCCAATTTTGTTTAAAGTTACCTTCCGAAGGCTTATCTCCTAAAGTTGAGCCCTCGGGCCTTTCGTGCAGTTAACACTGAGAACTCCCTATTGCTCACTGTAAATGATATCCACCTACTTTAAACTAACTGATAATGTTTTGTATTTCCCAGTAAAAATAGTTGAAAGTATTAGTAGGACGTGGGAAACCTTTGCTAGTAATACTTTCAAATGAGGTGCGTTTCTCGTGCACTTTTCTTGGTTAGTCCTTTTTTTTTTTTTTTCCTTTCGATAATAATAAAAACTAGGCATCGCATTTCATCACTTAGGCGTCAGTTCTAATTAAAGTTATTCCCAACTAATGCCGAGCGTTTGCTCGTCGCTGAAGGAATTCTCTAGCACTGCTTCATGGAACAGCTAGAACACATCCGCCATTCTTTTGACGCGAATTTCTCACAGCTGAGCTTAGCGTGTTGAATTTCCGTTTTCCATGCGAAGCAGGAAGATATTTCTTCTTAGCAAAATAAAATTCCGTTTAAAGCAACACTTTTAACAAACTTACCCTCGTTATAGGTTAATAGCCTTTGCATGTGTTCAATAAATTTATTTTCCGAAAATTAAAATTTTTTGTTTTCAATAAATCTTTCCAGATCCATACAACTTATTCACAATTTAAAATATCTTAAGAGTTTGCTACGCATTTATATACTTTAATGTCTATACTATGACATCATTTCTCAAAAATATTTCGGTATATCCGCTTATTACTTTTTTTTTTTATTGACAAGTATTTGAGTATGACTAGCCTTTTATGTGCAGTGTAATTCCGCTGCTCATGCTTTTGAACGCAAATACAGTTGACAACTAGGAGTGGCTTACGAAGTTAGGAGTGATTTAACACAATTACGAGAGCCATTTAGTATGTTTTTAGGTATATAAAAGATCATGAAAAGTGTTAATAATAAGAATCAATAATAATAAAGTGAATAAGAGCCAGTTTCTTTTTGAAAGTCTTCCACAAATGCATCCCTCGCTTGCTGTGCCGTACTCAAATAGCTTAACCTAACGAAAACGTTACACTTTTGCTAAAAACGTTTACCATACATAAGAACTGGAAGACCTATGCACGATCATCTGCACGTATTGTTTAAAATTAATCACCTAATATTAATAAGAATTTTAGACATTCATGTCATATTAACAAGCGTGATTTATTCTGTTGTCCTTAAACTTCTGATCGTGATATTTTTGTTTTAAGGCCTGAGTTTCAAGGAAACTTTGGCTAATTCGCGTTACCTTTAAGAGTATTTTTAACAAGGGATAGACATAAATTCCTGAATTTTCCTTTTTGATCAACGTCATAATTTTTCTGCTTTCCCTTTGTTTTCAGATACTGTTCTGAAATTGGACGTCGTGGAGAAACCTTTCCGATCTCTGGCTTTCCGGATCTTGACGTTGGATGATTTTGATAAACTGTGCCCAGAAAACAATCGCAGCTATACTACATGGGTAGGTAACTAAAAGCATTAATCATGCGTAAATCCAGTTGGATTTCATATTGTCTTTGAATCATGGGTGCTTAAACAATTCCTCCCCCCATTTTTTCAATATGAATGCATTGTGTTCGTTAATTTACTTATTTTTTTTCGTATAACTTTCTGTAAGCGCGTGAAAATATTTCGCTTCTCTAATAGCAGTAACTGAGGAGATTTAAACTTCCTGTATCTTTAAGACAATAACGAATTCAAAGGGAATTCCAGTTGCCTTCACAATGAAAGTTACCATTCATGAAAATATCCAGCCTTTTAAATATGCGTCATCTGAAACATCTTAGTAGCTGGTAGATTGCACGAATTAACTAATGGAAAGAACATAATGCGTGGGCATCTTTCGAAGTGCAAGAACTCATTATATTATACTACTTCTTGCAGTTACCATAGCACTATTTTATGTGCTGAAATTTTAATACGAGTTTCTAGGACGAGATCTAAGAAACTTTTCGTGTAATGTGAAGCTGAAGCAATGCAAATTATGTGAAATCTACTTAACAAATGAAGCTCCTAGGCTATTTGAGGAGCTTCCTATTATGTACTTTGTTTACGATGTAAACAATTCGCGGAGCCAACTGACGTAACGGTGACGGAAAGGGAAGCTTCTGAATATCTATCCGTTATGCGACTACTTTGTGTCATGATATAAGCAGATGGAAGAAGATCCTTTAACTTAAAATCGATAAAAGTAGGGAAATGGTCTTGCGTGGTGTAGAACCCGTTGACGGGATTTCAGTATTTTTTTTTGCCGAAAACTAACTCTTCAGTGCGAGCGAGGAAACCTGCAATTCCAAAATTAGTTTTTGAAGTTTCATAAAATATTAGTAACAGTTTTAATAAAAAAGAGCTCTTTTGCAGAGAAACATACTGTGGAATTTTACCTTTATAGTCTTAAGCACAAGTATTTTGTTGATGTAAAATGTTGTATTATTTTGTTTATTTAAAAGCACGAGTATTTTGTTGATGCAAAATGCTGTCATGTTTCTGGAAGTTAGGTCATGGGATTAAGCAAATAGAAACTAAAATAAGAGGTTTAAAACTTGCAATATTATTCGAATATTTTGCAGAGTTTTTATTAAAATCTGCAGAATTCAAAGAAACTATTGGAAAAGTGAAAACGTGTACGTTAAATTGGTCTAAAGATGGCTACTGGAATATGATAAAACTCACAAGGTCTATCTGCTTAAGGGAAATGATGCCTTTGTGGAGGACTTTCTAAGGAAATCGGCTCGTATTCACGTTATACATGAAGAAAATCAATCATGCACTCAGCCGATTTGCCTGGCGAACTACCGGCACTCGGCGGTGAGGTTCTGGTAGGGCTAGTTTGATTAAAGACTCTATGACATAACTCGAGTGAAAGTATGATAAGATAATTTAAATCGAATTCTGAATAATAATAATATTGAGCTACTTAACGGAAATAGATTAATGAAATCTTTTCTGAACAACATAGTATTTGACGCTTATAATGTCAGTCTGCTGGATGATCGACCAGGCAAAGGCGAAAACCCAAAATCTGCGACTTTTAAATGGATAGTGGTAGTTACACAATTGCCCGGTCCTAAGCTCTGCATAAAAAGCATGGGAAAAATCTGCAGTTTTATATACGATTTAAATTTCCATTCATTATATTTGAATTGCTAATAATTAAAAAATAACATCGTTCATTATTAACAATTTAATTTATAAGTTCAATCACTGTTAGCTATTTTTACTCGCCTTAAATCATAGCATTGTGTGAAATAATTTGGGAGGAATGTGAGGGGGGCACGGATTAAGAAATTTAAAATTAATCATGGATCAGAAATTAGGATGATTTAAGGAACATTTTCAACCAGTGAATAAGCGAAGTAAAATGTTTTTAAAATATAATTAAAATTTTGGTTTGGAAATGTCATTTGCACTGATCTCCATCGTAAAGAGATGAAAGGGGTATTAAGTATATAATAAATACATGTAACTGAAAGCTGGTATATATATTCCTGATGAAGAGGGGCTATGTCTGATCTCTCCTCAAATCTTATCGATGGAGTTTTCATCAAAATCTATGGCAATTTAAAGGTGCTTTTTTGTTTAATTTTTTAGTTTAAATAACCCGTAATAAATCATAAAATAATAAATCAGTTTGAGAATTCCCCCTTTTTTATATATTTCGTGCTGGGGTTATTCTGTTCTCTTTTAAGTAATTTTTTAAAAAATAATTTGTAGCATTCAAATATCCCATCTAAGCTGTGATAACTATTTGTATAGCATTAGTCATAGCTTAACTAAAATCGTCAGATATTGTAACAGATTTGATCAAAGCTTCGATTATTACATTTTACAACATAAACAGATTGAAAGCCAAGTCAAAATGAATGTCACCCATGGGAACAAATAAGTAACAGTAATTTAAACCGTTTTCGCTTGCTTTCAGTATTTAAAAGTAATGAATGAGGGGTGGCACACAGTTTAGTCTCCACTTCCCTCATTGTCCGCTTCACGCTCGTCTGCCTCGTCCCAACACCAGTAGAACAAGTTTTTCATTAAATAAATAAATAAATAAATAAAATAAAAAAAAATCAAGTAATAAAAAAAAGGAAACAGGCAGACTATTTCTTAATTACAGAAACCCACTTCTGCTCGAATGAATAAAATCGCTGAATACTAGTACTTCGACCCAGGAGCGAATCTCTTCTAATAGGCTGGCTGCAGATTTTATTCTTCATTCCCTCATGTACAGCGCAAATACGGGGCAGTTTCAGTCTCCCTCAGAAAGTTTTCCACGAAGACTTCACTCTCCTAAAGCAGATAGATTTCGCTTACACAGCCATATTCAATTAAACAAGCAAATAAATCATCAAGGCGGAAGACGGGGAATTCGAAAAGGAGAATCTGATCTGGCGTCGAAAGAAGCCTAGATATAAATAGAGTGAAATTTAATTGCAAATTAAATAAAACAAACTAATCAAAACAAACAAATAAAACAAACTAAATCATTTAACAACTAAAGTTAAATGATTCTGTACTGCAAAGGACATGTTCGGTCAAGCTCTAAATCAGCCAAATCTCACTGGTAATTATTATTTGTGACTGCGGATAGTTGAGAGTACAGCCTTAACTGAAACCAGAAGAGCCCCACCAGCGGCCGAGCGGTAAAGACGCTGAACACTGGTAGTTCGGTCTGAGGTTCGAATCCCGCAAACGGGCTGGCTGCATGGGCGTTTTCGTGGTTTTCTCCATGTGTAACGTGTATACGAGCCAGTTTCCCTTAAAAGGTCCTCCACGAAAGGCATCCCTCCCCTTAGGCAGATAGCCCTCGTGTGCTTTGCCATAACTGAATAATCCGAAACCAGAAGATTCGGAGTTCGAGTTTGTATTTATTAGCTTCGGTTTGTCAGATACTATACTCCAAACTAAATTCGAAGAAATCCAGTTTTAAAATAGTGAACTGAAAAATATAGAAATCATATCGACAATATTAGGCAAGAAAGCATAGCTACAATACAAACGGGAAAACTAAAACAAGCTTGTAAAAAAGAGAAAAACACGTGCAGTTACCCAGCGAAGCAAATAAAGCAGAATATTCTATCTGTTATAGTTTAAATATAGAAGGTAAGGTACTTTGTATTTCTAATTGTATGAGTGCTATAAAACTGCCAAATGCTGATTACACGTTTTAATTGCTATTGAATTTCAATCGGAGTGAGACAGAAATAGTCAGTTTCAATTTGGTACTATTGGTGAGGTTAAATAACCTGACGAGGCATTTAAAGCCTAAAATCTCGAGAGCTAAGCATAGCATAAAGTCTCGCCCCACTCCAGTCTCTGTTATTTGCTTCTTCAATCTCATAAAATTCCTCTTTTTGATTTTATTTTCCTTGCTAAATTCCTCATTTTTGCGACTACATAGAACTTCGTTGTTCTTTATGTGGCTGTTAAGTAGTTCGAAAGTACTGTGCATAGTTAATGCGTGTTTATTTATATGGAGTTTAACCAAAAATGTTAGCTTCTTTTGCAGTAGAATGTTTATAGAACATATATTGAGGGCATTTATTTTTGTATTCGAACTATTTGCGTTTCGAAGCTTTTTTAATAAAGTAGGAAAAAGGGAGGGGGGTTGAAGATGCATTTCGGATGATCAAAGCTGAAATGACAGTGATCAGTTTTAATAGAATTGTATTAGTTTTATTTTTTAAATGCAAATGAAAAACTGACATTTATGTATTTATTTATTTTGCAGATAAATTTATCTCCCAGTGGAAAACTTAATCTTCAGATTCGATTTTATGAACAAGATGAGTGTAAGTATTATATTAATTGTCATTTTTATATGTAAGATGAATGGGTTGGGCAAGCTGTTTAGAGAGCATGTTTGAGCTACTGAAACTGAAGGAGGATATCTGCACTTAGCCTGCCAGTGGCCGAATAAGTCTGCTGAATACTGCTAATAAAACACGAGTTCAGATCTCAGTATACGAGCTGGTTGCGTGATGTTTTCGTAAATATTTTTTCATTAAATGCGAGCCAGTTGTCCTTAAAATGTTCTTCACGATGGTATGCCTCTCTTAAGCAGGCAGCTGTAATTTGCTTTTCTTGTTAGTGTGCACAAAGTTAAGAAAAACACAATTGTTCGGTAAGGGGTAGGGCCTTCGGCCCAGGTACCCTGGTGTGTACACCATTTTCCAGAAAAACCTCCATAGTCAGTCACTTTTAGTTAACTTAAACTCTCTAAACTTTTAGTTAACTCATGCATGTCTTTTTAGCTAAAATCCATAGGCTAATTTTTTTTTTTTTTTAATGTCATCCTCAGCACTTTATATTCGATTCGTTTTATTTCTTGTGTGTAATAGTTGCAGATTTATTTGAAAATAGTAAATCTTCCTTAAAATTATGGCAGATATATTTTAGGCTTATTTAATGCGTGTGATTGCAGAGTTAGAATAAATAAGAAATTATGGGTATTCTTTTACATATAATTCAAATAGTTACAAAGTAAAACAGGCTGTGATATTTAAGTCTAAAACAAAGTGAAAAGTTAACGTTTTGTGCGTAGCGAGCATAATTCGGAACCCACAAGTGGCCCTGAGGATAAATCATTAGACACTTGTATTTCGTCTTGCATCAGGCTCTCACGAGTGTACTGGAGGTCTGGGGATTTTTTTTTCCCTCATTTGTTAAATGAAGAAGGGCATTTTTCTTAGAATGTACTCCACATAAGTATCCCTTCAAAGGCAGATAGCCTTCAAGTGCTTTGCCTTAATAAATAACTGAGCCTAATTCATATACAAATTCAGGTTGTAAACGGAGATAGCTATACCTGTGTTTCTTGGCTTTAAGTCTCTGTAAAACGGTATATAGTTCTTCAGACTTTTGAAGCAGTAAAACCGCTGAGCACCGATAATTTGGCCCGGATTCAAATCCCGGCGAATGAGCTGGAGTTTTCATGGATTTCCTAATGTGGAATTTGAATGCTAACTTACCAATACCATCGCCGTGGACAGTTTCCCTTAAAAGCTGTCCACGAAGATATCCTTTTCCTTAAGCTGATGGTCATGGCATGCTTTGCCATAATCTGAATATAGTAATCGAAAACTTTCACCAACTACCGTCAAGCATCTCTTCCCGCTCCCCTTTTTTTTTTCAAAGGGAGTAAAACGACGAGTTTTAAATCTCAGATAAAATGCGAACAAAGGAGTAGTTACTAGTGTTTTTTATTCTACTTAAGGCTTGTTGAAAACCAGGGGGCAGGGCTAAAAACCCTATTGCCAAAGTGTTAATAAGGATATGGCAAAGCCTCGAGAGATATCTACTTAAGAGGTGGGATGCCTTTTTGGAGGGCTTTCTGAAGCTTTCGTTTGGTTTGTGGCTAAGCACGCGATAGCTATCTTCTTAAGGGAAGGGATGCCTTCGTGGAGGACTTTCTAAAGAAAACTGGCTCGTATACAAGTTACACACGAGGAAAACCACGGAAACGCCCATGCAGCCAGCTCGTTCTCTTGGAAGTGAACCCAAGTGGGAACTCTGTTTGTTGAGCGACTTTACCGCTCGGCCGCTGGTTGGCCGATTTTCTGAGAGAATCTGACTCGTATTGATGTTATACTTCGGGAAAGCCACATGCAGTCAGCCCGTTCACCTGGGTTCGAACGTAAACCAGGTAAAGATTGCCTGTATTCAACGGTCAGGATAGTTGTTAAGGAAAATAAATTAGGAAGAAATCAACATAACATGAGGAAGGTTAAGGAGAAAAATCAACTTTTAGGAATATTAAAAATTTGGAAAAATTGACGGTGATTAGCGAGATTCGATTCCGGGATCTTTCAGTCATGAGACGAGCAACAGATGAAATATTAAAGCGTATGCAAATTGAATTTATTTCTGCAACAAATTTATCGCACAATTTGCACTCTGTTTTTAGTGTATCAATTTGTAGATTATTTAAAAGCTGTCACTTAATTCAGAAAATTAATCAAAGCATTAAACATGATAGTTAACAGCTGTGAGAAAATCTGGTGTATTCGAATGAATATTTCAAAGCAAGTGCATTTATTTAGTGTTGCCAAGAGACTGTCCCAACCCATCGCCAAGGTTAATGGAAGCTAGTGCTGCCATCTATGAATGTTCACGAAGGTCTAAATTTTGCCTGTCGCGTTTCTCGAGTTGGCGCTTATGCGATAGTGCGGAAGATACTGAACATTAAAGCTTGCATTAAAATTTGGCTCTCAGATATGAGCGGGAAGGTGTTAAACGACTCATGCAGCTAAAAGTAGTGTTTTTCAAAGGGGATATTGATGAAAAAATGTCTTATCACATTGTATTTGTTAATACTAATAGCAAAGTTTTGAGAATCCCTCTCCCCCGAGAGAAAGAATGAATTCGGGTAGGACATTCTAAGACTAATTCACTCATATCCAAGGCTTAATTTCTGAAATAAAAAATTCCGGAACCCTTGCTAGACAGTCAGAAATAGAGAATAAAAATTAATGTAAATAAAATAGTAAGTAAAGCAATAAATAATTAAAATATAAAAAAATCTATGTCATTCATTTAAATGAAAAATATAAAAGATATTGAATGATAAGTACAATATGCAAATAGAATGAACAACAAACGCTTTCAGAATAACTTTTTGTAGAATAGTATTCTATTTTATAAACGAGTAGTTAGAATAGCCCACCAGCGGCCGAGTGGTAAAGTAGCTGAACACCGGTAGTTCGGTCCGAGGTTCAGATCGGACTGGCTGCATGGACGTTTTCGTGGTTTTTCCCAAGTGTAGCGTGTATACCAGCCAGTTTCCTTTTACAACATCCTTCACGAAGGCATCCCTCCCGTTAGGCAGATAGACCTTGAGGCTTAGTCGTAATCACGTAAACAAGCAAAAAAAAAAAAAAAAAAAAAAAAGTATTTAGAACAGTAATTCTATAAAAGACTTACCGTTTCCATTAGATGATAACTGTTATAATGAGACCACCAGGTCTGTTTATTTATCTTAGGGATAACTCCTCTAGGAATAAAAATATACTTAGTTAATAAGATATCTTCGAAGTGTTCGAGGCGAAACATTTCATATTCATGTTGCTTTGAGGAAGAAACCGCAAATGCACCTTTACCGCCAGTTCGCTTTCTTACAAGTTAAACCTAAGTTAGGTGTATTTGAGTATGGCAAAGCCATGAAAGTTATCTATCTGCCTAAGAGATGGGATGCCTTTGTAAAGGACTTCCGCTCACCAGCGGCCGAGCGGTGTAACGTGTATGCGAGCCAGTTTCCTTTAGAAAGTCCTCCACGAAGGCATCCCTCCCTTTAGGCAGATAGCCCTCGTGTGTTTTGCCATAATTGAATAACCCATAGAGGACTTCCCTACTGACGTTAAACATAGGGAAAACCTACCAAGCAGACCGCCCGTTCACCTGAGATCGAACCTAAACTAGACCGAATTACCAATATTGAGAGTTCTTGACCGACTCAGGCCAGTGGTGCGGCTTTATACGTAGGATAAATTACCAGCTCTCAAAGCATAAAATTACAGCCGGCTATATACCGTAGGTCACGTCTGCTTCTGAAGAAATACAAAAATAATAATAACAAAATTTGAAGGGGGGGAAATGGAATTTTCTTTCCAATTTTTTCTTAATATTATTTTATTTTCTTAATAGTGCATTTTAATTTCAGTTTGTAAATTTTCCATGTGAAATTTTTAGTTCAAAAATCTCATAATTTCCATTTATGTAGTAAATTGAATTTCCATTTATGTAGTAAATTGAATTTTCAGCTGAATATCCTGAGTGGGAAGCTGAATTTCAGAACTCCTTGCCGTCAAATGGAGTTATAAACAGGCGGCGGGGAGCCGTGAAACATCAGAAAGTCCACGAAGCCAAAGGTCACAAATTTATTGCCAAGTTTTTTCGGCAACCGACATTCTGTGCATTTTGCAAGGAATTTTTATGGTAATTTTCTTTAAAAATACTTATTCCTATGTTTGCAAATTTTCAGTTTTTTTTTTAGTTCATCCTCTGATTCCATAGGAAACCCTTTGCCAAATGATTGATGCTTTCTGCTGGTGATTTGATGAAATTAACCGTTTATTCGCTGAATTCGTTTTAAAATTACACCCAGAAATGTCCTGACTTTTTTACATTATGCTATCTTACTGGAGGAAAAGTACAATTAATACGAAGCAAAATATTTGTAGTTTTTTCATGTTTCCACTGTATTTTCACATTTCCGTCTTTCACACATACTCTTTTACTTATGGGTATGTATATGCTGCGCAATAAATATATACTGTAATGTCATTATGTAACTATAATTTTGTGTTTAATTTTTCAGTTGTATGAAAATTTATGTGGTGTTAAAATCATGGAACACAGAAAAAATCCGAAGTAACCAAAGACGTCTGTGATAAATAATAGTGTTACTTCATTTTTGGAATAAAAAATATTAATAATCAGTTACATTTACATAGTAATTGAAATAAATGTCATTCGGCAATATATGAAAAACGTGAATAATTTTTTATAAATTTTCATTATTGCAAACATCAGCCTGTTAAATCATCTTATTTATTGTTGAATAAATCTGATCAGAATGGCACTGTTTTTAATTTTTAGAGGAGTTAATTTTAATTTTTAGCTTACTATTTATTTAAATTTCAAGCTATTGTTGAATTGCAATTTGTTCATACAATTAGCCAGTTTATAGCATTAAATAGTTTCTTTTTAAAAGTTATTAAGAAGCTTTAAAGAAATTAAAAATCAACGTGCAAATTCAAAACATATTTCAACGTCTAAAAGTAAGATAAAGTACAATAAATAAAAGAAAAAATTATTCTGTGTCTTATGAAATTAATATAAAATAACTGAAATCGGATTAAAATATTCTATTTGCATATTTTGAATAATTTTGACTATCATAATGATATTTGTTTTCTTACTGTTTTTATATTTATTGTTATTACTGGTTTTATATATGAGTAAGATGAATATCGTATGTCATCTGAATATATAAATAAACGTTCGAATCTATCGAAAACATCAAAATTTTTGGAAGAGGGGGCACCTTCATGGTATTCAGTTATTTTTTTCACGAACTTTTTTGTTATGCGTTTAACGTTATTCTTTCTGGCATTACCCCTTTTGCATTACCCCTGACCAATTGCCAAGAGGATAAAGTATCTGAATTTTGGCATTTCACCCAAGTTCACAACTAAGGAGCTGAATGCATTGAGTTTTTATGGTGTTTTCTAAAATTAATGTATCTGTGAGTTCGTCATCTGGCAAATTCTCTACGAAAGGTAGCTTTTCCTTCCTCTTGCAAGTGTCCGTCATTAACGGTGCCTTTCACAAATGTTTGGACATTTCAATACTAATCTGCTACATGTATTTTTAATAATTCTGCATTTGTGTTCTATCTGGGATCAAAAACAGCTCAGATTATTGTTCTAATAAATTTGTCTTTACCATTCTATTGAAGGTCTAGTGAAGGAATTTTTTAAAAATGACTCGAAATTTCAGCCAAAAGGTCGTACTGGAGTTTGGGGAACAAAAGTGATTTTAACTAATAAGTAGATTTTCTTAAAGTGATAAATTCGTTTGACTTATTAGTTTAAGTACCTAAAATAAAACGGAAATCTTTAGAACATAAAATGATTGCTAGCTTGTTTATTTAGAGAGTACGCACATTATTTACAGCACTTCAGAATTGCTCTTTGTTTCTGATTTTACAAGGAAATATGTTTTAATGCATGCGTAATTTGACTGCCAGTATGATAGAAAATACTAAATTTAATTCTTTTTAGATCTGCATCTGACATTCAAATCAACTCAAACACGTCATATTAAAAAATAGCAAGCTTCATTCTCAGTACAGCGGCTGAGCGGTAAAGTCGCTGAACATTGGTAGTTCGGTCCGAGGTTCGAATCCCGCAAACGGGCTGGCTGCATGAGCGTTTTCGTGGTTTTCACCACGTTTTGCTTGTATACGAGCCAGTTTCCCTTAGAAAGTCCTCCACGAAGGCATCCCTTCCCTTAGACAGATAGCCCTAGTGTGCTTTGCCGTAATCTCAATAAACAAAACCATCATTCTCAGTATTCGGCAAGTGTTTATAACTACTTAGTTTTTAGCTCCGATGCATAAAAGTTTTGGTTTGGTTTATTTAATTATGGCAAAGCACACTAGCAGGGCTATCTGCCTAAGGGGAGGGATGCTTTCGTGGAGGACTTTCTAAGGGAAACTGGCTCGTATACACGTTACACATGGGGAAAACCACGAAAACGCCCATGCAGCCAGCCCGTTCGCGGGATTCGAACCTCAGACCGAACTACCAGTGTTCAGCGACTTTACCGCTCGGCCGCTGGTGGGCACGTAAAAGTTTTGATAGTGTTGTTTGAGTTTGTGTCCCCGTTTTATTAATATCTATGTAAATGTTGACAGTCTCTTTAATAATACATCTTCAGTGACAGAATTCAGCCGTAAGTTAATGGCCGCTCTATAGTTTTGCATCCCACCATTTTAGATACATTTTTCCATGGTGGGGAAGTAGCGAATTCCTAAATCGGTAGTTGGGAACACTTCTTTCGTAATTGCACAAAAGTTATTCAATCAAAAATTAAGGAATTATTTTAAGAAAAGGAATCTATCACGGTGAAAATTGCTATATTTTTAGGCATTTTATGTTTATTATTGTTATTATTATCGGGAAAATGAGAAACCAAATGCCAGCTTTAGCGCAAACTAATATTTGATAAAATTGTTAAATTAGGTTCCGTGAAAGGTACTTTTTTTAGCTCAATTTCTACATTTTTTTTCTTTGTATTAGTAACAACGAGAACTATGGAATTAAATCTCTGGAAAGAATGATTTCTACATGCGTTTGCCTCATTTCTTCACGCACATTAATTACATTAATTGCGAATTTGCCAGATTTTTGCGATTCCTTAGTTTGTGCGGATTTTAAGACTGACAGAATGCTATACAACATAGAAATAAATTCAAAGAGAAATGTGTTTTAAAATATTTAGAATTTTATCATGATACTTCTTCCTGAAAATATTTTAATTTTTGAGAGGCCCAGAAATGTAGATACAGATCTTTTTTCGCAGCCTTATTTGTAAGCAAAAAGTAGTAATATTCTGTTTTTCCAGTTTTAATTACAAAATTTTTGGCAACGTTCGAAAGCTGTTAACATCTCATTTGTAACATGGTTTAAGAAAGAAACTATAAATCTTTCTATAGTATGTTTTCAATTTTTGGAAGACCCCAGCAGGCAACTGCCATTTAGTCTATGTCCCTTTGCTTTATTAACTAAAGTGTCATCGTTAATGAGGACGCGTCATAGTATCACAGGCCATTGTGATGTGTCACGCATATCTATTCCTGCCGTGGATGTCACGAAGATAAATGAAACCTTTTCCGCTTGTATTTGTATTGGGCTCAGGGACTGACTGCAAGCCCGTTACTAATATTTTTATTCCCGTTGTGTTAAGAAACATAATGCAGGCTGTCTTTTGTGTTAGATAGAATGCTTTCACATCTCATAGCTAAATCATTTATTCTGAAAATATATAATTTAGGGATTGCTTCAGACAGAATATGATCTTAAAGTGAATATTTTTATTGTTAAAACGAAATCATTTGTAATTTTTGAATGTTAGAAAGTAACTCTCATTCAAAACCACGAAGGTGTGCAAAATACTATTCGAAGTATTGTGGGCGGAAGAGTCATATCCCGAATTATTTTGTTGAAATAATATGGTAATGAAATTTAAAGAATATGTTCATTCTATTTAAAGTTTAAATAAAATATTAAGGATGTTTAACATTTGAAAATTTTTATGAGCATAAGTATTAATTAGCTGAGTAACATTCAAAGGATGTTGTTAGGATTGACTAATGTCATTATATAATAGCTTACATTGCTTCAAAGTTTTCGTTAACGAAGCATCAAAATTCTGTAGAGTCAATATTGCGATTTTAGCTTGCAAAGTAATAGCAGGGAAAAAAAATAGTGAAACACTTTTTTAAGCCAAATTTTAAAACAGACACTCCCGCTAGAATTTTCTGGTGTAAGTATAACTGTGTAATTTTTAAGGGACTTGGAATTGCGGATTTTTTGTATCAAGTGATTTTAAATTATTCGGTATATTTCATGATTAACTCTTTACGTGCTTTTTGTAAAACTACTAATTTTGAGATTAATTTTCTTTCAAGTATGTCATTTTTCACCGTAGAAATGCTTTAAATCCATATATTTATCCATTTTGAAACTTTCAATTCAAATTCCTCATTTTATTTGCTAAACTTTAAAAATGTTCATATAAATAAAATTTAGTTATAATGTATTAAATAACTATTATTACCTTGAATTTTTGAGTACGAATAGATTTCCGTTGTAACTATTACTCAGTTTTGGTCCAGGACATGTGTATACAAATATATTTATAGTTTTTTATTCCATTTGCGACACAGCAGATGGTATTTTGACTTTAACTATACAGGCGCATCATTTAATTATTGAAATATTTGCAGGGGTTTTGGAAAACAAGGTTACCAGTGTCAAGGTGAGTATCTTTGATCCATCATTATCTTATTTAGAAAAGAGAGAGAGAGAAAGAACAAATTTGCTTACGAAAAAATTTTCGAGTTGCTTTATAGAGCAAAAACTATTTTAGATTTTAGAAACGAAATATTTTGAATATTCAGTAACTGAATTTAAAAGTAATATGCAAATAGCTGTATTTAAAAATAATATGCAATAACTGTGATTTTCTGCGCTTCAGTTGAAAGTTTCTGAAAATCAAGTAACTATGAGAGGCAGAGAGAAGAAGAAAATAAGGCATAACCACAAATTTATGACCCGAGAAAATTCAACTGCACCTTTAAAATGCCGCTGTCGGCGCAAGAAATGTATTTTGTTTAGCAGGTTGATGACCCATCTTATTTGTTTAACTTCTGTAGCTACTTGCATTTGGCGTAATTCACCTTACGTTTCATATTAGGACCTGACATAGAATTTACAACTCCTTAGAGTTTTTGCACCGCTTCTTCTTCAGGAGCCGTTTTTGACGTAAAGCTGAGTTTTATTAATTTTGGTGGACCTTTTACTTTACGTAACATCGCGCTACCCGGGCATTTATCATCCAAGCAGCCTGTTAAATGTTACGGTTTCTAAAGACGTATGACCTTTAACATCCATGTGATCTGGCATATAGCCAAATCCTCAAGTGATTGCTATTTGGAGTGACATAATATTTTTTAACTTTTGAACATCCATAAATGTTCCGCCAAGTTGAAAAGAGTACTACCTCACCTAGATATAACAACTCAAATACGTCTCATACTATTGTCTTTTCCGTTTGATTTACGAACAACATCTACACACTCATTTCGGGCCAGAGTAACCAAATCGGGGAATGAAAGTTGTCACTGCAGGACATTATGTATGCTCTCAGTTTGCATGTCCCTCCCCCCTTAGGTTCTTCTGGTTATTTGCTCAAATCTAACCTCACGGCTTTAAATACATTGGTATAGAAAGAAGGATACACAAAAAGATACGCAAATGATTACAGTTTCATCGTATGGCAGATTACGGAGAAGAGTAATGACTTCTCGAAGCAGTGTAAAAATTCAGATTAAAAGCTCTATTTTTATTCGGAAATTGCATTTAATTGTTGTTTTTTGTGTTGGAGGTAATGTTATACCTCGTACAAAAAGACCGAACGTGATATGAATGTTTCTCCATATTCAGTTGTGGGAGAATCGAATTGCGTATCATCGTATCGCGCAACTGCTGCTCGAGCTGGTAGAAATCCAGTGAACTTCATGAGAATTTGCAGTCAGTAGGTCCAGAAGGGCCGCAAAGAGCGACGTGTTGGCTTTCAATGGCTCTCACTTTGTAGTCCAAGACGACGATCATCTTGTCCACATTGTTGTTGTGGATTGTAAAGCAGCATCACGTATACTGCATGAAAAAATTAGATGTATCTCACAGCTCCAAATATCTCTATACTGCGGTACAATAAAGGTCTGCGATTGTCAACAATGTGATCATTGCTTCGGCTTCCCTTGACGCTACGGCGCTGACTAGAAGAACGAATGCTAGAAGCTTCATTCTTTGTCTTCATACCGGCCCAGCACCTGGAAAGGTGGTACAGGGTGCCACTGGGTACACATCTTGTTCACCCCTGCGCTGCATATCCGATACTTTAACCATCCAACGTTACATTATTGAGGCGTTAGTGCCCGTGGCTGTGTCATACTTTCTGGGCATTCTTCCTTCCTCATTTCAAGAGGACAGTGCGACATCGCATGTGCGCATCCCACTTCCCTAGCGTGCCTTCGTGGTGTAATGGTAGCACGCTGGGCCGGTATTCCAGAGGTCCATGGTTCGATTCCCGGTGAAGGCGGTTGCATATTTTTCATCTTTTCTGCTTCCAATTAACCTAATGACTCTACAAACTGACTTAATCTGAATGAATGATTTTGTAATTCTGAACTTTATATTTAATGTCCTGAATTTGAAATCATATCCATTCATTCCTGAAAATAACTTTCTATTTCGTAAAAGTTAAAATCCACGTGTGTGCTCTGTATATGTTGTTATTTCAGACATGGAACCTTTCAGATCAGATCTTGAAATTCGATATAAACTAGTTTTATTTTGTATGCAGCTGATAATTTTTATTAAAATTTGCACCATTACTGCAATACGTAAAATATATCTCTAATGCCATTCATCCGTTACCTTGGAACAGAAAAATCTTTTTTAACTTAAATTTCACTGACATTTATAAGTTAAACGTTTTTGAGAAATAACTGCAAATTTTCAGTAAACTGAATTATTTTGGGAAACTTAGGGAAGCTACTTCAAAGCCCTAATAACAGCTTCCAGTGCCTAGCTTTAAAATGGCACTTATTGCGGAAAAACAAGGATGTTGACTTTTCAATTCTACAAGTACTTTGTTGCTTTTTTATTTACAGCATTTCTTTCGCATTTCTTTTTAACTTATATTTGGTATGGTGGGTATTTATCATACTTTGTCCTTAACATTGGGGTTGTTTCCTGGTTTCTCCACCTACACATTCAGTTGAGAAAAAGACATTTTACGGAGGTGGGAGAGGCAGACTTCTTTCTTCTTCAAACTCGAAAATAATGATATTTTAAGCAAATTACTTAAAAGAACGAAATGTTCTGTTTCACAACTAAATGTAAAACATGTAGCATATTTCTAATCTGAAGTAGTTGTCTTCAAAATATCGTAAGATAATTGAATAAATTTATGAATATATTAAATATAATTACACAAAAGGAAGCGCCAGATGTTGGAGCCTGATTTTCGCAGTGGCGCTAGGTCTCCATTTTCAAAGAGGCTTCCAAATCCTCTCTAGTACTTTACGTAAAATTTTAAGTATTTTTTTTTTCGACTTAGTGCTTTTAATTTAATATTTTTATAATACAAATAAAATGTTAAACTCCATATTTTAGTTTTTATGAATTTCTTTAAAAATAAGACATTAGGCGTTTCATATTACTAAAAAATATAATATGAAAAAAAAAAAGAAAAGAGAAATTTGTTTCAAAAGTTACAGAATACGAAAAGTATGATTTATAATGAGCCAGGTATCTTTTAAAGAGTTCTCAAATTAATTTTTATAATGGTCAGGACATAAGGAGTTCTTTGTAATGATACCACAGAACCAACATATCAGAAAAAACGATTTCTACCATAGTGATAAAAACTGAAATTTTTAACTCATTTTATTCATATACTGGATTATTAAAGCGATAATTAATGGCATTAATATGGTTATATCTCCTTAACTACGTTAAGATTTTTAGAAGTCTTTTTTTTCTTTCCGGGGGGCCCACCAGCGGCCGAGCGGTAACGTCGCTGAACACTGGTAGTTCGGTCCGAGGTTCGAATCCCGCGAACGGGCTGGCTGCATGGGTGTTTTCGTGGTTTTCCCCCATGTGTAACGTGTATACGAGCCAGTTTCCCTTAGAAAGTCCTCCACGAAGGCATCCCTCCCTTAAGGCAGATAGCCCTCGAGTGCTTTGCCGTAATCTAATAAACCAAACCAAATCTTTCCGGGGGAAGAAATCTTTTGCTTCGCGGCAATAATGTGTTTTTCTTTAGGCATCTAGTTTTGTAAATTATGCCCTGCGGGGTATTTGTGAATATGACTGAAGAAAAATACTACATACTTATGCTTATGGTGTATGTATGTGTTTATGCATCATAATACTTTAAAAACTCAGTATAATACTTTAAAACCCGCTATATGTATGTATATGTATTGTTATATTCAAGGAATATATTTTTAAAATTTTTAATTAGATCTATTTTAAAATCAAGAAAAATAAAGGAATTTATCTGCTATTATAGTTGACAGATGTTGGTGAGTATAGCAAACTTAAAGAAAATGTAATTCACCATATAAAGGCTAGCTTTTGGATAATTTTGGTGGAACTAAAAGGATTAAGAAACTAATAATATTTACCTATAGAAGATCTTCTTTTCTTCTCTCTCTCTCTCTCTATATATATATATGTATATATATATATATATGTGTGTGTGTGTGTTATTTTCAAGACTTGAATTTTTGTTTGAAATTTTTTTCCGGAATTATAATCAAATTTTAAATTTAAAAAAGTAAATTTTTTATCGTTTTAATTTTTCTTGAAAGGGCTCATTAAGAATTTGGAAATTTCTCTTCAAGGACATTAAAGAGATACTTTTGTTCGACTGAATAGTTTTTATTTGACTGCAATCAATGTATCGAAAATTTCTCAAATTGTTTACAAAGCTCATACCCTTAGCCTCAGTTTTATTTAAATGTTACTTAAATCTATGCAAAAAAATTGGTTTAGATTAGCTTTACTAATTAGATCTGAATCTTTTGAGCAGGCCTGTTCATGCGAATTACTCAATACATCATTATTAAGTTTGTAGTTCATATTTTCTTTTTAATGTAGCTTGTCAAGTAGCTGTACATAAAAAGTGCCATGACAAATTCCTCGGGAAATGCACCGGGTCTAGTTTAGAGTCTCAAGCTACATTAGTAAGTATGCTTATAACAAAATGCACCATTGGTTGATATATTAAAAAAACTCACGTTTTAAAATTATTCCTCTTCGTTTAAAAAACTTTACTTCAAAGCATGTACCTCTTTATTTACAGAAATTCACCTAAAGATATGTACTGCTATTTAGTCTTATGAAAGTAGCTAATATATTTCTTTTCATTGCTCAGAAAAAACTGTTTTAGCATAAACTGAAATTGTATATGCTATGATGTATGTATATGCTATGATTATATGACTTTTTTTAAATTCATTGAGTTATCTGCTTTTATTATTGTCATAATTGTCAATTAAGTATAAGTGAAATTGATTTAAAATTAATTTTATTTGTACATAAACCACGAATGCTTTCAGTTTGTTTGTGTATTACGTATAGATTAATCTATCTTTGCATTTTAGTTAAGATTTAGTGTAGAGGCAGGTGTTACCGAGTTCTGCTTACATTTATTTTTGATACGTATTTGATTTTTACCAGAAATCTTGTTATATTTCATTTAAAATGATCGAAAACTTACGTAAGTTTATTTTTAGGTCAAGAAATGAAATGAAATAGGCGAATTTTAGGTGAAAAATTAAATGAAAAAATATTATAAAATGAAAAATATGCAAAATTCTTTAACTGATTCGCTACGTTTACTTTTTTTTATTCTTTTCATATGAACTGTAATTATTGTTTCATAGTTTTACTGAAAAAAATGAATCAAATATTTTTTATTCTGTAAAAAGCCACTTTTTTCTGTTTAATTTCTTTTTTGGGCTTTTCCCCATGTGTAACGTGAATATGAGCCGATTTCCTTGAAAACGTCCTCCACGAAGACATCTCTTCCCCTATCAGATAGCCCTCGAGTGTTTTGCCATAATCTAAATGCCCAGATTTCCTCATTTCCTTTACCGTTCTCTAAAAAAGAGTATTGAGTAAAGAACATGTGTAACGAAATTTTATTTGCAAGGCATTTTGAATTGTAAATGGGTCATCTTCCATAAAAAACCGATTTGCTTTTTATTATTACGGACATTATATGTTCAGTATAATATGCGTTTGCTTCTATATGTCAGAAACCACATTTCAATTTGAGAACTATAATATGGGCAAAGGAAGTTCTCTTTTGTGTATTTTAAACGCCGAATGAAAGATCGGTGATATTTATTCCGGCTAAACGTTTAATAGCTATCTGCTAGGAGAGGGATACATTCATGGAGCGCTTTCTGTGGAAAACTTTGTCGTATTTACTTTACATGTGGGAAAAACCTTCCAGAAAATGAAGGCTTATGTATAGAGAACCCTGTTGTGACTACTGCCTCTGAAAATGCCCCTGCTATTTGAGAACATAAATATCAGTGTCAATAATTGTAATATATTTCTCTAAGAAGACCAGAAGCTATCAAATATCTTCAAATATGAATACTAAAATGTCTTAATTTCAGATATTTATACCCATTTCTAATATGTAATATTTCCAGATTTTACACTATTTAAGAAATCTTTCTCCAAACAAGAAAAGAGGGTTTCTGGTTTTTCATTTGTTTTAAGTGGGAAAAAGGTTTTTTATGTACTTTTGAAACGTAGATTTTTGTCCTTATTTTAACATAAAGTAATACATCTTGCAGTCTCATTTACGACATGCATTCTAAATAGTTAATTATATGCCTGAAATTTTATATTAATTTTTCCACATTCTGTTTGGGCAAATGACAAACTATAGCAAATCAATATTCACTGATTACCATGGCAGTTATTTGCTTTGAAAATCATTCCAATAATTCGCCTTTACTTTGAAGATGTAGCTTATCTGTTGCATATACTAGGTAAATTTCATAAATCCTAAGCGAGTAACTTTATATTAAGACGCTTGTAAAACAAAAAGTTAAAGCATGAAATTCAAGAACAAGATTAAAAAAAAAAAAAAAAAAAAAAAAAAAAAAAAACCCCTCTTTCGTAATGTTTACTGCCAAAGAAAGGTGGCTGAAAATTGCCAGTGTGGTATACATAAAACCCACATTTAAAAGATTTTAAAAGAAAAGAAAGCAATCAAATAAGCAAAGTTAATAAAGCTAATAAACAGCGTGTTTAGATTATTAAATAAACTGTAAAATCAAGCTTATAGTTTGATACAGTAATTCTGTTCCATTTTCCCTTTATAAACAAGACTCTTTTTCTATACTTCAAAGTATTATTCTCAAACTGTATTTGAGAAAACTAAAGATAAAATAAATCATTTCTGAATGTATTGTGCTATATTTTTGTAATTCATTTATAATTTTATTAATATAATTAATCTCTACATATAATAAAAGGAAAAGTCTGCCTGTCTGTGTGTGCAGCTTTCGCTCGTGCTGCGCGTAAGCAAATAGATCCAGGCTACCAAAGTTGGTACATAGGTGCATCTAGACAAGAGCCAGTGCACCTCGAAGCGATTTTTTCAAAAGTCGAATGAAATTTTTTTTATTTTATGTTTTTTGATGAAATCTCATCAGACATAATGGGCATACCAGCAACAATGGCACGCAGCCATTGTTGCTGATATAGCACTGTTACTCACCTATTCCTGCATATTATTAATACATTTAAGACATTACGTCAATTGTTGGCCAAGACAGAATTATTGATAAGTGATGTAATTAAGCTTTGAAAAAATTATAGTTGCGTCCTGGCTTGGAAAACTTAACCGTGCTAATCAAACTATTAGAAAAATGTTCTTGCAAACGTAAATTAAATGTGAACCAGTTCGTCTGAAAAAACTTTTCCAGGAATGTATCCTTTCCTAGGTAAGTAGTGTCCATATATTTTATTGAAATAAATTGTTAGCCTAAGGAATATAGCGAGTTCAAAAGATTTTAGATGTTCCTTCCATTCGAACCTCATTACCGATTTGTAATTATTAAAGCAACGCATATAAAATATTAAAACGATTGCTTCTTTCTTGATATATTGTTTTATTTTTTGCTTCAGTGCTAAAACATTTGACTGTGTTATGGATATTTAAGATTTCGTAGCATGAGTCGGAGAAAAGTTTGATGAAATGCTCAAAGAATAATTCTTGTACTGCTGACCAGTTAATAAAGCAGTCGTTTATATTATAGCGATATTAATATTTGAGAACATAAGCATCTTTAAATAAACATTTGCCTCAAATATAATTTATCTTTTTATTCGTTAGTATCTTAGAGAAAGATTTAAGATCGATGTGCCTCATCGTTTTCGAGTATACAACTTTAGAAGCCCAACTTTCTGCGACCACTGTGGATCTCTTCTTTACGGACTTCGAAAACAGGGTCTAAAATGCAAACGTAAGTTCTTCGAAACTTTATTTATAACTTTTATTTTCTGAAATGCTTAACAACTGTTTCTCCTGTTTGCATTCTAATAATGAGAAAGTCATTCAGTTGCTGAGAAAATGTTCATTTTTCAGCTGAATGTCAGCATATTTCATAGTTTTAAGAAATTATGTGTTTAGAAATAATTTTAAATAATTTTAGTGCAAGTTTCGACTTGGTTAATTTTTTATTTTTTTTATTATTTATTCTTGTTTTAATTTTGTTAACTGCCTTTAATGTACAATATAATTTTCTTATATTAATTCTTTCCAAAACTTTTGATGCTAGGAACATATTTCTCCAGTTCAATTGCTTTGTAACGACCGTAGTTTATTATATTTGATTTCTGACATGCAAGGCATTAATCAAGATGGATTTACTCTGAACTATGGTCTCAAATATCTACATTCGTAGAGTTAAAACTAGGATTTATTTGTGAAAAATCTCCATGAAGGGAGGATGTTCAAATTTATTTTTCTTTCATGGCTGAAGACTTTGTTGATACATTTCAGATTATAGACTTTTTAACACATGTATTTCATAGTGGGTGAACAAAACTCAGAACATCAAAATAAAACTCTGTCAAAATATGAAACTTTTAGGATTATTACAGATTTCAGTATATTTTAACTCCCAGATTAATAAATTTATCTGGTTTTACGATCATTATATACATATATGCATTCTGAGTATGTAATTTATTGATATATAAACATTCAAATAACCTGACATTAGCGCTCTTAAAAGAATTTAACTATCTTTGTTACACATAGATTTCAATTCCAGTCTATGTTCTTATGAGTTATTCAAAATTGTATATAATTATATTTATAATTAAGAACCAAATAATCTTGTATTTTAAGTCTCTATCGTTGATCAGATTTTTATCCACGATTCTCTAAAATAAATTTAGAGGACAAAGGGAAAGTTGACATGTCAATGGGCTCTTTTGCTTCATAATATGCAACTTTTATTTTAACTTTGTTGTGTTTATTGATTTGAACTAAAACGGAAGAAATGTTTTTATCAAATATAGTCTTGACTGAAACTTGAACAAAATGTTCACATCACCTGCTCTGTTTCTGACATCAATAGCTTCATTCGAACACATCTGCCAACCTTTACGTCATTGCAATTTTTAGCGCACCTTAATCTTTCCCGGCGACGTAATGCTTAAATTTACTCACAAAGCTGCATGACATCACAATTACTTCGAGCTAATACTTTAACAAGTTTTAAGGCTAAATTGAGTGTTTATTGCAGTAATCTAATTCCTGTATACGTGCAGCTCTTGATTGTTAACTGTAATAGCGTTTATTAATCGTTGATTAGATTAGTCTATTCTTATCATATTGCTGTAAAACACAGCGCGGGAATTTAGTAAGAGATCACCTTTTCCATTTTGTGTGAACATGGAAAAAATTCAGATATTACAAGATTAATTTTCGTGTTTACTAGGAACCTGGAGGATAGAACCTCTGAGATCTGCTAATTCATCCTAGATTCATCTCCTCTTAAACTTCTGGGTTTTCATGACTTTTACTGTAAGTGAACACATACGTAAACTTTCCGTTTCTAAGGCAGATAGTTTTCGAGTGCTTTACCAAGTTCAATAGTTAACAGAGATTAATTTTCAGAATTATAACATAAACAACTCTTGATAAGAAGCAGTGTATAGTGGAGTGCAAAAATTAAGAACA